TCCCTAATTCGCACGACTTTAATAAACAATTCATATCCTCCTCATCTCATTAACTCCATCACTACCAATAGACTCAAAGTTCTCAATAGTATGAATTCCTCTTCTTTCCCTATTAAAATTTCTTAAGACAATTTTATCGGTAACGTTTGTCTAGCATATATAAAAGAACTTTTCCCACTTACACAAAAAAATACCACAACATAAAAACAATTCCAAAAACAAAAACCAATATAAAACAATGCTGACAAATAACATTAATGACCTCAAACATAACATAATTTTTTACGCCTTGCGTCCCGGTAAAAGTAATATTTGTCCCGGTTTTAGGTGTTTTGAACCAAGTTTTTAAAACAGTGTTGATTGCCAATATTTTTTTTAAATATATTTTAAGTAGAAAATTTGAACCGAAAAAATGTGCATGTAAGTTTTTAGCACATCAACTATAAAAACTATGAGAAATCAAGTGTTTTATTATATTATAATATCTATAAATTTATTTAACAACTGTAATTAGTTTTTTTCAACTTAATGCCACAATAAACATGTTCTCTTATAGACCAGTCATTTTGAGGGATATTAAAAAAGAGATATATTAAAATGGGTGGTAAATCCAGTGATGAAATTTGAAAATTGAACAAGCCAGCATAAGTAAACAAAACCATTTAAGATAGAAAATATATAAATAATAAAATTATATCAGATCACCAAGTTTTATCAATATATTTTGCCTACTACTGACAAAATGTGTCTTAAAATGTTTCATAGATTACAGCATATTTAATTATTGTCATCAAATTAACTCTGTTATAAAAAAAACATGCAAACACTTACTGAATTCGATCCCTTATTCAAGTTACCTCAAAATGCTCTTAAATATATATAGGATGATTTTGTTATGTAAAAAATTCCTCATGTTGAATAGTATTTCTTCACCGACACCTAAAAATAAAAATTATAATATTTCATATAAAAAATAAAGATATTAAGTTGTTCCAAAAGTAGTTTCAGTTTTTATAGATTTTTTAACAAGTCATTTTTGTGTAATAAATGAAATACTGTATTAAATTATGTATTGGCCATTTAACTCAGACATCTTCATTCAAATTTCTAGAAGTAGTGTAATTCCAAGATCATAAATTTTTTGGTTGTTATTAATAAAAAAATGATGAAGGTGCTTCTTGACCCCCTCATTTGAAGCAAAGGTTTTACAGTCTAATAATTATTTTAGTAACAGAAACAAATAATAGTCCGATTATGATGTCTGAGAAATACGGTGGGTGTAGCATTATGTCCCATTCACGGTATAGAAGTTGAAGTCATACCATATAGTTCATTTTCCGTGAAGTATATCTTATAGTTTATTCAGCTGATCACAGCAGGCATCTGAATTAACCGTTATGCTAACTTGAAATAACTGAAAACAGACATGACTTAAAATCTCACCAAACATAAGCATCAACTGTTTCTAGTAAATATCGGCTTGCAACTGGTTTGAGAATGTTCTTCTTTTTTGTTTCATGAGCAATTGCATGAGATATATTGTATTCAGCCCATTTTTCATTCCTAGTAGTGATTTTCTTCAAAAACCAATCATTTTCAGGGCGCTTCAGAAGTGAATTGCAGACTTTAATTCAGCGACACAGGTTTTTCTCTATAAGAACCTGGAAAACTCATACATTGAGCTTTGATAAAATTCTTGACATTTCGAGTGGTCATGAACAATTGAATTTAATAATTTTTATCATTTGTAATGTTTTTCACAGTTAAACAGTAAAATATGTTGACAATGCAGCTAATTGTTTCCATATTTACAGAGACAGTATCCAACAACAACTGTGCATAATAAATCAGCATTTTTCACATACCTTAATACAACCTTAACAAGTTTCAAATTATATAATAATAATAAGGCTCAAGTATGATGTTAGTTTAAAAAAAAAAAATACAAATAAATATGTGGAAAAACAACGAAGCTACTTTCCAAACAACTATTGTTTGGATTCTCATTTTAAATAGTATTAAAAACGATTTCCATTTTAAATGGGATTAAAAAGAAAGAAAAGATGAAATGCATACAAAAGAGATTGTTAAAATATATTTAACATGTGCTTTGTCATAACCTCACCTTGAAATTGAAACAATATCGAAGAACAACGAAGTACGTAATCACTTAATAATCATAAATAAGACAAACAATAAGTTTAAAATTAAATTAATAGCGTGGCACATGAACGAATATGAAATTCACAAGCAAATGAAGAATAAAATGTTGTTAAAGTTCTTTGCTTTATTCACAAATTAATCTAATAATGTTAATGATTGATACTAACCATAAGCCTGTAAATAATTATATCGCGAATTAAGGTCATTCATCGTCCATTAAAGCACTGAACATAAACAAAATACAATTAATATCCAAAACCCTAGGCAATATAATACCCGAAACAGACATGTTGAAACACATCCGAAGCACCGAGCGACATAAATTACGTTAAACGAAGAGCAACGAAGTAACTCGGAGAACAAATGTAAGGGTGTCGGCACACTACCATAAAGCGACGTACGACAATCGATTGGCTCCGAGCGTGACTGCAGCGCCAGACTAAATGTGTACTACGTGTGAACTAGTTGGGGGTCAGTGCGTGCTTTACTTGTGTTTTTAGACGTTTTTAAAGAAAAAAATTATTGAAGAAATATTATTAATAAGTTACAACAAGAAAGAGAAAGTTGAATAGGTAATATAATTTTTTAAATTTACTTGAACGTACTTAAAACACAGGCAAGTATGATAAAATAAATAAAGAAATATAGTAAATATTTATAAGGTTAAGTTGCGTAAAAATTTTGAATTATTAGGAATAGTCCTAATAAATGAATTATAATAACGATGAAAATATTTTTTCAATAGATTAAGTAAATAATATTTTTGTTTACTAGTCTTTTTATTAATTTTGGCCAAACTTAAGACATGGACATTATTATAAAGACAGGATTTGAGTCCATTACCCGCCAAATAAAGTTCCAGCCGGAGACAATGACCAAAGATAAAAAACTAGTTGATGCTGGACATGTGAGAAAAGTCGAGGAACATCGACGAAACTTTGGAAGTTTTTTAATAAAATCTCGAATCTTCGACAAACATCAGTCTATGCTAAACCATATGCTACATCCGTAGACGTAATGCACCTTTAGATAATTCATTTCTTATATTATATAATTATTTAATTATAATATTATAATTATTTCTAACTATTATATAATTAATATATTGTTTCATTTTAATTTTATATAAACTCTGAACGTTGTGTGACAAATGTCAACTGTAATTGTGTATATAATGAGGCACGTAAGATAATAAACACATAGGTGTATATAATCTGTTTAACAGGAGGTCAAAATTTGGGAATGAGACACCAGCTAGATCAATGAGTTCTTGATCTTTTGTCGCTGATGAAAATCCCCTGAGGATTTTATTATCTGCTTGACTTTCCTTATCAGCAAAGGTTTTTTGATCATTACCGCATTTATTATTAACAATTTTTTTATCACTGACATGCATTTTTATCGGCCTAGTATCTACAACACTACAACTATTTCTGTTTGAGTTTCAGCACGACACAAATTATTTGTTATATAATGGTTGCAAATAAATGTTTGTGAGTTGACATCAGAGTTTGAGTAAAAATCAACTTGACACTCTTGGTCAACTTTTAGATATACAATCGGAGGAGGATCACATTCATTTATCACTTCCATTGATTCTTGTATAGTGAGTTCAGAAGTTGATGGATGGTGGAGGTGTTTTACGGGTAATTATACGCTTGTATCAAAAAATATTAAATTATTGCAGTTAAATTATTAACATTGATATAGTTTTAATCGTAATTTCATTAACTTTTTGAGTTTTATAAATTGCAGGGAAGATTGTCGGAACGAAGCTAGGACTCAATACCTCGTCCGATTTTTTTCCTCCAATAAAATGTGCACTGCAAATGCGATCATAGGGCTTGGGAACCCACGGTGATCCTACAGCACTACAAATATATATTTTCCATTATTTCAGCATTGTATTAATTAAACTGTTTGCAAAATAAACAATTTAGGGCTATGTGATAACTTTTTTTTTAATCATAAAATTATAATTATTATATAATAAAATGTAATATATAGATAATTTATGCATGCATATAATAAGTTATGCATAGTTATACAATATATAAATATATATTTTTTATTATTTCAGCCTTGTTTGCAAAACATTTTTTTCTAATAAGCATTGAATCTTAATATTATAACAATTTATTGACTTATAATTTTTTTTTTGCTAAACATAACAATTTTACAACTATTCATAATACTCCTAATTGTATTTTTATAACAATAAGGTTGATAAGTAAGTATCATACTTTATTATTCTAACCGCAGCGATCCACTTTTCCCGTTGATTTGCTTTCTACTTAGTTGTAGAAAATGTATAGAATTTGCAGTCACTTTTTCTGCTGGTATTTCTACAACCCACTACACAACAGCTATGGTGGCTCATTTTTAATTATCTTACTTAAATTTGAAATAAACAAATATTTTATGTGTTTTTGTTTAAAATTTCGGTTATAACAGCCTCAATTAATGCTCCAAGTTAGCCACTACAAACGCTTCGATCGATTTGACTTCCCCTTCCAAGTCTTTGCACATAGCCAATATAAGATCGCTTTCTCGGTCTATATTTCGCCACGTTTTTTTTTTCAGACCAATCTGGCAATTTGTCCGTGTTAGTTGAAGCTACAGAGGGCATTAGTAGACTGAACGGGTGCGTATAAAAATTACTATAAAAATGCACCAATATTATGTAGACCGATGAAATTCGAAATTAAAAAAAAAGAAAATTAAATTTTTAAAAGCATTTATTATTCACAAAAATATTTTACATTATATGATAACACTACATAGTAGTTTTCTTTATAAGCAATGCTTAAGTAAACTCATTATAATTCAATTTAAGGTTATAGGTAAAATATATTACGGTATATGTCACTATCCAGAAGACAGTTGCGCTCTGAATACGGATCTCCAATGAAACCTAAATAATGACACATTATAGAGTAAAAATATTATCACTAGTGATGTGCCGACTCGAAAATTTCCTGATTCGAGTGATTCGAATCAGAAAAAACCTGATTCGAATCATGATTTGAATCAATTCGAATCAAGTTCATATATAAACAATTATAATTTAAGACAAGAAATAATATCACTTTAACAATTTTATAAGTGAATTTATTAATTTAGTAAGCAATTAATTCCAAAAAGTGCAGAGATTAATACATTTATATTATATCTTCTATATATATAAAAATAAGTCGGGTTTTCCTTCCTGACGAAATAACTCCAGAACGCACGAACCGATTTCGACAATTTTGCATTCGTTGGAAAGGTCTCGGGCTCCGCAAGGTTTATAGCTAAGAAAATTAGCCGTGCATGGCATCGTGCCCTGATGCAAATTGCTGGAACTTCACGCACCGTAGTTAAAAATTTGAGTAATAAAAATAATCAATAACTGTTTTAAATAGTTTCAAATAGATTATCTACATATATATAAAAATAAGTCGGGTTTTCCTTCCTGACGATATAACTCCAGAACGCACAAACCGATTTCGACAATTTTTGCATTCGTTGGAAGGGTTACGGGCTCCGCAAGGTTTATAGCTAAGAAAATAAGTTGTACATGGCATTGTGCCTTAATGCAAGCTGCTGGAACTTCACGCACCGTAATTAAAAATTCGAGTGATGACATTAATGAGAATTATCAGAATTATGCTTGATTAAGTCAACGAGCTCAATTGTTGCCGCAAAGAATAATGATGTACACGCACTGAATTTCACCATTCAATCAAAAATTGCTCGCGATTTGGTGACATACCAATGATTCTGACTGGTCTTCCGTTTGACTTCAAACGATTGCAATTTCCAGTTCGCCTTGCGTTCGCAATAACAAGTTGCCAGGCCAATCGCTTAGTGTTTGCGGGATAAATTTCAAATAGATTATTCAGAAAATCATTGTTTTTCACATTGGCAGTTATACGGTGCCTGTTCACGAGTTGGAAAACCATCCGCTTCGTTTGTGTTAACGTCAGACCAAAAAACAAAAAATGTGGTTTACCAAAGAGCACTTCAATGAAACGGATAATTTGCGGATTCACTTTCATTTACTTAGAGAAATTCAACTAAAAATCACTTCATTTTTGTAATCGAAATAAATTCGTTACTGTTGTACAATAAAATCAAATTTTTCTTTTTCAAATATAAAACAAACAAAAAATTTCTTCATCTTTCTAACAAAACCATCTGGTGGCGAAACAGAGTTCGTCGAGTTTGCTAGTATATATATATAATAATAAACTTGCTACAAATATAACTAATGACTACAAATATTTTTCTGAATAATAAGAATTAAGGAATAATAGTTGATTTTATTTATTTGGTTGTAACCTATTCCGTCGTTGATTAGTCAACATGCCAGCCTTGGAAAATAAGCGCTCTGACGGAACGGATGTTGCCGGTATACATAAATATTTTTTCGCCATTTTATATAAAGCAGGATATATGTTTTTTTTCCTCCCAAAACTGAACAGGATCTTGCTTTCTATTTAAATATGGCAAATTTATATATTCTTGCAATAATCTTTCTGGAAGAGAGATTGAAGTTTGTTCTATTGTCTGAACCACACGCATTTCAAAATTTTCCAAGATTTCATCATCTATATTATGGTTTGACGGTACTGATAATGGTTCATTACTTTCGGCCTTTTCAATATGTTCTGCCGTAGTCATTTCTTTTACTTCATCTAAAACCAAAGCCATTGCTTTATCCGCAGAACTCTCTAATCCAAAGGCTTTTTTCTTATATCTGGGGTCAAGAATTGTTGCTTTTGCTGTAATTTCATCATTTTCTAAATAACCAAATCTTTGACTTATATTTCTCAACAAGTTTTGTAGCAAATTCTTCCCAGTATTAGTTGTTGGCGTTCTTTTATTTATAGAATTTTTCACCCCTTGAATTATAGGTATTACACTGGATAAGGTGGAATAAAATTCACCTGACAATGTTTTGGTTACAATTTCCAATGGCTGTAGAATCTTCACACAATCTTCTAAAATAGCCTTCTCAGCAAAACTCAGGTTTGGTGGAGGAGAATCTATTAAAGGCAAAGCTGCACATAGCGCAACTTTAACCCTCAATAACTTTTCAAGCATATAAAAAGTGAAATTCCATCTAGTTGGTATATCTTGTAATAAAGTAATAACATCTAAGTTCATTTGCTTGACCTGACGATTTCACACTATGTTTAAAATGCGATAAGAAATTCACAATTTTCTTTGTCTTTATCTAAACAATTTTTAACAACTAAATTTAATGTGTGAGCTACGCACGAAAAATTTTTTTTATTCAAAAATAAAGTAATAGCTTTCTTCATATTCGGCGCATTATCAGTCACAACAATATCAACTTTATCAAAGATTTGCCATTCAATTAACACAGATTTCAAACCATTAAAAATATTTTGTGACGTGTGATTTTCTCTGAGTTCCATTGTTGCTATGACTAATGAATTTAATTTGCCATATCTTTAATAAAATGAGCAGTTGCGCTAAGAAAACATTTCTGGCTATCGCTATTCCATATATCAGTCGTAATTGCAATGTTTTCGACAAACGTAAGTTTTGCCTTTGCTTCCGCACTATGCATTTCGTATTTTACCTCTAACAACATACGCGTGAGTACTTTTCTGGAAGGTAATACATAATCTGAATTTAGAATTCGCGAATACTTTTTAAATCCATCATTTTCCACTATCCGTATCGGTTGCATATCTAAAATAATCATGTTCATTAAAGTATCATCGCCAGCTTTTTGATTAATTTTACCAGAAATAGTAAGCCGCATGTTAGATGCTTAACTTTAACATTCACTCAGTATTTATCATAAAGATCAAATACCTCAACTCTGGCTAACTGAAATTAAATCACAAGTTAATATAATACACACATATAATGATAACAACCAAATATATTTAGTCAGGATATATATTTATTACCATAGATGTTTACGCCTCTGAGTCCAGTTAAGTAAGACCGATTATTTGTTTATTTATTAAAATGTGACAATATAAACAACATGGCGACTTATATGAAGTATGTACAAGATACAGCATAGACTTAATGTTGGTAGCTATGCTGGCGCGAATATTCGAAATTGCCAACATTCGGCCATCCTATAGTTACTCGTCCCCGAGTAAATAATCGTTCAGTCTGGCTGGCTTATGGCTGTGACGTTGGGGACGACTCCTGGGTTTCCTTGATCCTTGGTGTTCCTCTTCTCCCGGCTGAGTGTCCTCTTCTCCTAGTCCAGCATCCTCTTCTCCTGGTCCAGCGTCTTCTCCAGGTCTGGTGTCCTCTTCTCCTGGTCCAATGTCCTCTTCTCCTGGTCCAATGTCCTCTTCTCCTGGTCCAGTGTCCTCTTCTTCGTCGTTCATGGCAGGTGTCCAAAGTTTCAACTGTGACACATGAGCTGTGCTACGGTATCGTTTTCCCGTGGCATCATCCTGCATATCCACAATACCATATGTGTCTCCTGGTATTATCCTGTAGACCACCATTGGTCCACGATATTTCCTTTGTAACTTTACTGAATCGCCTGTTACGACTGGTGCGGTTTTGACATAAACAATGTCGCCTATCTTGAAATGCACATTTTGGTGAGCGTGCAAGTCATATTTCTCTTTGACTTTCATTTGTGTCATTTCAATGTTATTACGAGCATCTTCTTGCAATGCGGTTGGCTCTGTGTACCGTTCTTCTTGTTCTGTTAGTTCACGTAGTAGCCCATCATTCCGCCTCGGTGTATACCCATACAATAGTTCAAATGGGCTTCGTCCCGTACTTTTATTAAATGACGAATTTAGATCCCATGCTACTGTCTTCAGTTTCTTGTCCCAATCCTTGCCTGTCTCGTCCTCCAGGGTTGCCTGAATCACGGGTAGTAGCGTCCGGTTGACTCTCTCAACCTGTCCATTGGCCTGTGCATGACGTGGAGAGTTCAGGGTGTGTCGGATTCCATGCCTTGTGCAGAACTCCTCAAATTCCTTGGCCGTGAAGCAGGTTCCTCGTTCCGTTATTAACCTCAATGGGGCACCATAGGTCAGCACAAAGTCTGCCATCTTTCTGATCGTAGTCCGTGCAGATGTATCTCGGCATGGTTCCAACCTAACAAATTTAGTCAAATTGCATATTAGTACTAGAATATACTTATTTTGTTTACCACTTTTGATGAAAGGTCCCAAATGGTCTGCATGTACAATTTCAAAAGGTCTTTTGCCTGGAGTGATAGGATGCAACTCTCCCGCCTTTTTGCCAGTTTGGGCCTTTGTCATCAGACAGTGTAAACAGGATTTTATGTGCTGCCTAATATAACGCCGCATTCCTGGAAAGAAATAAAATCGTTGCATTTGATGCAACGTACGATCCAATCCAAAATGTCCCCCGTGGTCGTGAAACCTAATCGCCATCACCTTCCTCATGGTCTTTGGTATTACATACTTCTCGCCGGTACCTGTGGATTTATAAAGTATACTCGACCTTACCAGATACCCTTCAACCTCTGACCTCTCGTGGGGATTCCTCTCACCAATTGATTTGGATAATATTTCTATTTTTCTTTTCAGCAATGGGTCATGGTGTTGATATAATAACACCTCATCTTCTTCAGTTGTAATGCTGTAAACAGCTGCCACATCCTCCAGGTGTTCCATCGTAGATGCTTCCTCTGTTGGTGCTCTGCTTAACGCATCCACGTGCTGCATCTTTTCGCCTGGTCTGTGCTCAATGTCAAAGCTGAATTCTGATAGTATAGTATACCACCTCACAATCTGCGGGTTGCTCGTTTTGTTCGCGTTCAGGAATACTAGTGCCTGGCAGTCAGTAACTATAACAAAATGCAAATTTATTAATAAGCTTCGTAGTCTAGTCACTCCCCATATTATGGCCAATAATTCTAATTTGCTAGAGTGATAATTCTTCTCCGGTTCATTAGTTCGCCGGCTTATAGCATAAACTGGATGCATTAATTGGTCATCTCCTCTCTGTAAAAGCATGGCTGCCAATCCTAAAGCACTCGCATCAGTATGTAATTCAGTATACCTGTTTGGATCAAAAATTTTGAGCAGTGGCCTGCTCGTTAATACATGCTTTATCTCATTGAATACTTCCTGATGTTTTGTGGTCCATTCAAACTTAACATCAGTTTTGAGTAGGGCAGTCAATAACCTACTTCTCTCTGCAAAGCGTGGTACGAATCGTCGGAAAAAGCTTGCTAAACCTATGAATCTCCTTACATCATGCACATTCCTAGGTGCAGGGAATTCTTCGATGGCTTTTACCTTCCGTGACCCTGGTTCTATACCGTCGCCAGAGATCTCCATTCCTAGATAACTCACTTTTTCCTTCAGGAACTCGCATTTAGATAATTTTATTGTGAGTCCTGCTTCTTTCAGTGCCTCTAGTACTGCCACAAGTCTGCCTTTCAGATCATTCCAATCTCTGCCTGGAATAAGAATGTCATCCAAATAATACAATACAATCTTATCTCTTAATGGGCCCAATGCTTTGGTCATCAGTTTGGAAAAATAAAAAGGTGCATTCATCAATCCGAACACCATCCTGGTAAACTGTCCAGTTTCATCTGGTGTGATGAATGCCGTTTTCTCCATCGTCTCCTTTGTTAATGGAACCTGGAAGTATCCATGAGCCAGATCTGAAACGATAAACATATTACTATTTGCCAGTAGAGCTAAATGGTCATCCATGTTTGGTAATGGAAAATTCATTCGTTCAGTCTGCCTATTCAACGCCCTGTAATCTACAACCATGCGTGACTCTCCAGTCTTTTTTTCGTTAATAATACTGGGCTTGCATACGGGGATTCAGTGTCTGTCACAATCCCAGCTTCCCTTAATTCTTCAACGATGCGACTGATCTCTTGTCTCTCTGTGTTGCTAGCTCGATAGGGTTTAGCTCTAACAGGTCGGCTACCTGCTATTTCCTTTATGTCCATCGTCATGCTGCTGGTAAGACACAACTCCCATATGTTCTTTGAAATGCATGACCTGAAATTATTTAAAATTAGTATTAATTCTTTTATAACTTCCCTGGGTTATTTCCCTATATTCAAGTCTGCTTCTACAATAGGTTCCGTCTCAGACTTCGTCTGACCACTTATTGTCCCAACTTGTCCTGTAAGTATTGTAGTTTCTTTAGGTAACAATACTGGTTCATGACTCAAGTTCAATACTGGAACTGTCAACTCCGTCTGTTCATCTGTTACTTGAACAAGATTTATTGTTTCTGGTGGTAATGTCATTTCCCTGGTGGTTCTGAGTTTCTGTACAGCGGATTCTACCTACATGTTGGCAAATGGATAATCCTTATTATACATGAATGTTAGTTTGCCATTCTCCGTAGTATAATAAACATGTGCTAACTCTGTAAATGATCGCCCAATGATTACGTCTACTGTCTGTGCATCGTCTGGCACTATTCTGACAGGGACATCCTTCGCCATGACTCCGTCCACCTCCATTGTGACCATGATTGCTGCTGGCGACTCCAATTTGAAGTTTTCTGGCCCCCAGCTCTTGATCATCATTGGTCTCTGTACAACTCTGTACTCTTCTTTGTTCACCAATGAAGTCTTAATTGTACATACCGAACTGCCTGCGTCCACCATAGCCATAAATTTCTTGTCTTCTATGGTGACACTTTTAATGTATTTGTTACCTGTTTGATCCTTCTGATCCATAATGCACTTCACTTCACCACTAGAATTTTTCGTGTCGGTTTCTGTTTTCTTCTTATTTCTTTCTGGGCAATCCCGCAAAAAGTGTCCTACCTTCCTGCATCGATAGCATTTTACTTCTCTTTTTCGGGTTTGTTCACCTTCTTCTTTAACTTCACACTTCACTTTCGTGGTAGTTGCATTACGTTTTAGGCTGCACTCACCCGTTTCAAGTTTTAAGTCACTTAGGGCACTGTCGTGTGTTAAAATACTAGTACCCAGTTCATCGTAATCGGTGTGCTTCTCAGCAGCTAAAATAGCATATAGCTGTTTGTCTAGCAGTCCGTTCAGTACTTGTTGTTTTGTTTCCTCAAAACTCATGTGTAATGCCTGGCACAATTTTATTTTGGAATGAAAATACGCATTGGCATCCTCAGACTTCAGCTGCTTCCGCTTTCTCATCCTTTCCCATTTAGCGGTTAGATTTTCTCCGCTTAGGATGAAAGCTTTCCTGAAATGCTTTTTGAAATCATCCCAAGATTTCAGGTTCTGCTGCTTCATGTCATACCAATCACGGCCACCATTAGTCAGTAGGCTCCGCGCATGTTCCAAAATGATGTTGTCCGGCCAGTTTCGCATAGTCTTGGTGCTGTCTAATTTTTCAAGCCACTCCTCTGCGGCTACACCACCTTTTCCACCATTAAAATACCCTATGGTCTTCGTGAAGTCTGCCTCCGCGTGAAAAATAACTTTTGGCTCTTCAGTACGTTTCAATAACACCGCTATCATCTCTAACATCACATCCTCACGTGTTCGGCCGGTACTTGATCCCGCGGCATTTATGGCACTCTGGAACACCTCGAACGCGTCTGTCTGCCTCTCCATTTTAATAGGATCTGAAACACAACAGACTACAAAATGTTCACAATCACAATCGCCTCCCACGATCAAAGTTGCACACACTAATCAAAATCGACACACGATTTCACAGTACACCCGACGCTAACCTCAAACACGTGTCTCGTTTGACACAACATTCCTGAAAGAGAAACTCGTTAATAAACCTGAAACCAAAACGTTATTAAAACAACACAAACATTCACACTGTGGGGTTA